CCAAACGAGTTAGCCAAGGCCCCCCAGCTAGGAAGGGGCTGGGCTGGAAATTGTGTAGAGGCTTGTCTCTTGTAGCTACCACACCCTGCCTTGGGCACGCAGGGGCGTTTGCAAGAGTCTAAAAGTCAGATGGTGATGTTCACGTCCAGGCACCCCTGCAGCGTTTCAGACTTGCTGTGTGACTTAGGGCAAGTGACTTCACCTCTCTGTGCCCCAGTTTCCTCAGCTGTGAAATGAGGATGAAAATACTGCCTACCTTATAGGATTGTTGTTCGTGCTAAATGAGATAGTACAGCACAGGGAAGCTTCCAGCAGTTTTTGGCACCTGTACTATGAAGTGTCGGTTATTATTATCAACGTTATTATCTGTGATCTTCTGGGTCTCCTAGAGGTTGCATCTAAATATTTTTACAATGATAAAATATTGTAAAATAAATTTGGGGTCCTCTTTTTTTTTTTTTTTTTTTTTTGCAGTACGTGGGCCTCTCACTGTTGTGGCGTCTCCCGTTGCGGAGCACAGGCTCCGGACGCGCAGGCTCAGCGGCCAGGGCTCACGGGCCCAGCCGCTCCGCGGCATGTGGGATCTTCCCGGACCGGGGCACGAACTCGCGCCCCCTGCATCGGCAGGTGGACTCTCGACCACTGCGCCATCAGGGAAGCCCTGGGGTCCTCTTTTTGTTTCCAGGTTGGCAGACTGGGTCACAAGTGTGTTTTGATACCTCTTACCTGTATCCCATTGGGGTCATAGAACTTGTTTCCCTCAGAGGTGTTCGTGGGCAGGGCTCTGCTTCTGAGAGGGCGTGGGCGTCTCTTTGGGCTTTGATTTCTTCCCTGCTGGAGACCTTGACCCTTGATCGTGGCACCTGACTCTCCAGTGCGTTCCCAGAGGCGGCCCAATCTCCCAAACTCTTCTTACTCAGCCTCAGCGAAGGAAGAGCACGGGCACTTTTGGTGCTAAGTGAAGTCAATGCCAGTGACTCTGGGGCGAGAAGCATGAGGGAGGGGGGACAGTAGTTACCCTTCAGGCAGTTCCGGAGTTCAAGGAGGCATCCCAGACAGATAGACAGATGGACAGTGGTAAGGTGTCTAAGAGACGTCACATGGTTGGTTATTGGTCTCTGCTGTCTTTTCTCTGTGAGGACAGCTTCACAGAGAATCTGGTCCCTTGTTAGCCCTTTGAGGAGAGGAACCTGGTCTTGAATTTCTTTGCAGCTCCCCTCCTGGCCTGGAGCTTTGATTGGGATTGATCCAGACCTTGAGATAGCTTTCCCGCCAACCATTTTCTTTCAGACAGAAGGTTGTTTATTTCTTTCCTTTCTTTTATAAATTTATTTATTTATTTATTTATGACTGCGTTGGGTCTTCATTGCTGCGCGTGGGCTTTCTCTAATTGCGGTGCGCGGGCTTCTCACTGTGGTGGCTTCTTTTGTTGTGGAGCACGGACTCTGGGTGCACAGGCTTCAGTAGTTGTGGCACGCGGGCTCAGTAGTTGTGGCGCACGGGCTTAGTTGCTCTGTGGCCTGTGGGATCTTCCCGGACCAGGGCTCGAATCCGTGTTGCCTGCATTGGCGGGTGGATTATTAACCACTGCGCCACCAGAGAGGTCCCAAGATTGTTTCTTTCTTACTGACTAGTTATTGAAAGCAAATGTGTGATTTCTGGGACCCATCTCTGAGTCTGTGTTTCTAGAGGACGCACACAAAGCCCTGTGGATTTTTAGTTATTTTGCATTTTCTGTGGCATGCTGGCCTCTCCCCAGGTATCTTTCAAATCTGGAACCTGTTCTTTTATCCACACGACCTTCCGGGTTTCTCTCATTCACCTGGATTTTGCAGTCGGGGAGGCAGGAAACATATCTGATTCTGTATGTTCCATGATATAAAGACAAGGCTGGATGCTGAGCTGAGCTGACTGCTCCCTTCCCCGGATCTGCCTGCCTGTGGGCCATTGCACACCACCTTGGCACTGAGCACCGTCCACCTGGTCAGCTCTGCAGGAACTCGGAAATGAGGGGGCATGCTTCTTTCACGTCAGCCCTAGTCTGCAGGGTGTGGGATACCCAGATCTGTGTGGTTTGGAAGCACCATCTGAGCATCATCAGGCCACAGGGAGGATTGGTCCAGCATCAACTCCAGGGGCAGGAGCCGTACCTGTTCTCTTCCTCTGTGCAGTCTCTAGTATTTCTAAGGCCTGTGTGGCCTCCCTGTTTCCTTTTCATCATCCATCCTTAATCTCCCTTCCCGCACTTATCTGCTGCCTTGGGCATTGGGTGTCTGATCGGAAGTAATGTATGTTTCAGTCTCTGCCGCCTCTTTACAGCAGGTGCTTACGGCCTCAGTTTTCTATCTGTCCAGCATATTGTGGCCGCTCCTGCATATCAGGCCATAAGCCTGGCTTAGAGACTTTTTTAAGGTAGAGTCTGCCTCTCTAGAGCAACAAAACCATGTTGATTTTCATAATGACCGTATTCCTATTGTCCGCCTATTGGGAAACCCTGAGATGTTGGGCACAGGAAAGGTGAATCGCTGTGACCTGGGCAAGATTGGAGCCCGGAGCCCTTTTGGGGATTGGACCCTGGCTGGGTCCTGCAGGGTCTGGGTTGAGTGAAAACCCTGGAAGCCTGGCCCGTGGTAATGGGAAATCTACAAAAGGGATCAGAGGAGGCAGGAGGGAGGATGGAGGAGCCAGGCAGGCAGGCTGGTCTTTCCATCGGTTGGTACATTGCATTTTCCCAGGGCTCTCAAAGGCTGGTCTCACCTGATCCTTATGAGGACCTTAGCCAGGCACCTAGAACTAAATACAGTGAGGATTATTTTGACAGTTTTAGAGATGGAAAAAACATGAGCACTGTGCCCAGGGTGACAGGTTCAATGTGTGGCAGAGAGCTTCTTGCTTCTGAGATTCCCCCATGATTTACTGAATGGCCACCTTGACCGTGAAGGGGCAGGACCGGGGGCCCACGAGTCCCATCTCAGCAGAGGGAATTGTCTTCTCCGGCCAAGAGGCTTAACCCACCACTCAGCCTTAACGGCAGCCTGACCCCATTGCCTGTAGCTGGAGAAGACGGTGCTGGTACGATGCAGTTTGGCCTTTTGTCTTCTTAATTTCAAGGGCCAGAATCTGTTTAAAAACAAAAGGCCCTGAGACTTCCCTGGTGGTCCAGTGGTTAAGACTCCCCGCTTCCAATGCAGGGGGCACGGGTTCGATCCCTGGTCAGGTAACTAAGATCCCAAATGCCGAGTGGTGCAGCCAGGAAAGAAAGAAAGAAGGAAAGAAACCAGGCCCAGGAGTGCATGTCAGAGTAGTTACGTGTGTACGGGCGGGGTGCTCGCGTGTATGTTGAGGAGCAGCTGCTAGCCTGCCAGGCTCAGAATGGCTGCCGGCCCTGTCAAGGAGGCTCCGAGGGACCTTCCGGGATGCGCCCTCCTCCCCCGGCTCACCACGCAGTAAATGAGATGATCCCCGCCAACTGCCCGTGAGCCCGTCAATAACCATTCTAATCTCCTCGGCAGCCCCCAGAAGTGAATTTACGGCATCGAGGTAAAAATGAGGCTGCATGATCAATGGATCCCTGGATGGTCTCCTCTAGGAGACACAAATGTATATTGTAACAAAACTTTATTTTCTTCTGAAAATTGCCTGCGTGATTAATATGGCCCAACACAGCCCAAGCTGTTCAGCATAAAAAAACAGCTGTAATTCTTGCTCTCTCTTCAGTGCTGCTTCCCTTTCACTCCATTCCCTTTGTTTTGCTCTGGAACGCATTGTGCCGTATACTGTACAGTCTCACACAGACAGGCAGGGGATGCACTGAATGCAGTAGCTCTGTATTCCATTCTGCTCTGTTTGCACTTGGTATTTCTGTTGCGGCTCAGACTATGCATAAAACCAAATTCCCCAAGCCAGAGTGCTGGTGTTTCCATCACTGAGTCATGCAGAGCTGGTTCCCTGGGTACCAGTCATCTCTTACATCACTGGGCGCCCCCAGGGAGGCCCAAGCCCTACGCCCCTGAGTCCAGCCTGGATGAAAAGCATTCTTCTCTTTCACCCTGTCTTCAGGTATGGGGGAGTTGCTGGCTATTAGAAGAGAGGACCTCTTAGGCAGGTGGTCACATTTCCAGTCCTCAGGGAGATTCTAGGCATGCTTGCAAGAAGAGTTAGGGTGTGTCAGGCAGCACAGTCCTAGCAGCTAGAGGCCCCTCTTCCTTGATGATGATAAATTTCATGTGTGTTTCATGTCTTTTCCCAGAGTGTAAGCTCCATGAGAGCAAAGGTCTCCTGCACAGTGCTGGGTACTTGGTAGGTCCGATAGATGTCTTAGTTTGGGTTCTCCCAGAAGCAGACCCTGAAACAAAGGTTTGAGTGCATTAGTTTATATGGGCAGTGAAAAGGGCACCACTAAGGGGAATAAGGACTGAGAAGGGAAGGTGTCCCCCAAAGAGGGTGTTATGCAGCTTTGCTACCGTGGGTGATGGAGCTTAATCCCACTGGGGGAAACTCTGGGAGCCAGCGTAAAACCCACCCCTCAGAGTCAACCACCTCAAGGGCTGAGGGAGCTGGGTTATTTATACATCATCTCCCAGCTGCCTCTGGATGAGAAATGATGGGGGTGAGGCAGTTGCTCAGAAGGCAGCAAAGCGGGCTCCGAGGAAGGAGATGCAGGAGCCTGGAGTGGGAAGTCGGGCAGGTGTGCACTGAAGTGAGACCAGGGGCCGCGTGTGGGCGTGGCAGCCTGGGACACAGTCGATGTGTGCCCAAGACTGATGCTCCTCATTCCTGTGGCGTGGTACATTTGGGAGAAGTGGAGCTGGATTTCTTAACTGTCTTCTCCTTAGGTTTTATTCTCAGATATTAGCCCAGAGAGCCCAAGAGGGAACCAACGATTCTCACCTTGGGAGGACGTGTACCAGGATTGGGCTGACGGCCTTACCGTGTGCAGCCGCAGTGCCTGTGCTTTGCTCCTTCCTCTGACTCTGCTGTCCCCTGCTGTGTTCCCCCAGGTGTAAGGAGCTGAGGTTCTCCGAGGAGCTGCCCCAGATATCCATCATATTTATCTTCGTGAACGAGGCCCTGTCGGTGATCCTGCGGTCAGTTCACAGCGCGGTCAACCACACACCGACCCACCTGCTGAAGGAAATCATCCTGGTGGATGACAACAGTGATGAAGGTACGGGGGCCGCCAACCTGCGTGCGGTTGTTGGAGAAGACAGTGCAAGCACACGATGTGAGCGGGGGGAAGGGTCACTTTCATTCCATCCTGAGCCCAAGTGACTTTGTCTCCTGTCCCTGGGGCATAGCTGGAGAATGGGGGCCTGTTTGGGGGGAAGAAATCCAGGTAAACACTAGTTCATTAGTCCTTGAGTCCACTAGGGCTCTGAAGAATAAACTACTGGTTATGTGTCTGGACTCATTTCCCCTCTTCTATTACCAAAAGCAGATGACATTGAAGAGCTGAATTCCTCCGCGATCCCCACCCCCCATCCCGTCTCCTTGGTCCTTTTGCCAGAGGCAGAAGAAAAAGGGAAATTCTATCTTGTGATGGGAACTGTTGATCATACATCAGAATTCCCCTCTGGGCCACTGTGCCCAAAGTGACTGTCGGTAGAAATGCACAGGGTTTGCAGGTCTTTAGGAGCTCAGTTCTGCTAGGAATGATGGCTCAATTAAAAAATATAACAAATACTTTTTATATTTGTTATATGACAATATCAAAACTCCTTTGAAGTCCTTGGAGACGGAGGCCTAGTGTGAAAGTGGTGGTAGGGGGGTTGCTTTGGCTAATTGTACCTTTGTGTTGGATCCCAGCCCAAAAAATTCACTGCAGGGAGAAACCCACACAAGCCGATGACATCAAAGAAAGGCAGCCAGTGTGCATGCTTAAGGCCAAGGAGGCTTATCTTCTAAGCAACTGAAAGATTAGGAGCAAGGTGTACCCCTTGCTCTCGGTGGGATCAGTAGATTACCCCGTGCTCCCCGGTCAGGAGAGGGTGAGGAAGAGGCAGGGCAGTGTCATGGGTCCTGTTGGAAACCTGAGTATCTGCAGCAGCTCCAAAGAGCTCACGTTTCATCGGCCCAGGAGTTGAAGTCCCCCTGACCCTTCTGAACCAGCTGATTGTTACCAGTGAAGTGTTTGAGTGGGTGTGGACCCAGCATTACACCCATCAGGGCACCACCGTCTCCCGGGCCTCCAAATTTTGAGCACTAATGGGTCATTCGCTAGATTTTTCACATCCTTATTTTAAAACTTACATTGGTGTCCTCTTGGGAGAAGGAGGTTCTTTCAGTTCCCTGAAGCCTCTAAGTCAGCCAGCAAAGTCATGGCCCACAGTGGCCTTCTCTGCAGCCTCTCTCTGTGCCCCTGCAGACCTCTGGCTCCAGAAGTACCTCCAAACCCTCTGCAGGGAGTCCTGACTCCTACTCCCCCTCTCCGTCTGCTGGCTAAATCCCTCTCGTCCCCCGGGTGTCCCCGATGTGTCACTTCCTGGGAGATTCCTTTGCTGACATCCTAAGACCCTTGCTCTGTGCTGCCTCAGCTCCCTGTATCCTCCTGTAGCACATAGCACATGAGATCGCTGTGCCTTTCATAGCTGGACTCCCAGTACTGGGCAGGACTTGGTTTCACAGGGCCTGGCTGGTAGCCAGCCCTCTGTGAGTCTCACCCTATTACCGAACACAAGTTCGTGTGCCCGGCACACAGTGAGGCCAAACAAACCAAAATGTCAGGGTTCGGAGCAGAGAAAGGTTTATTGCAGGGCCATTCAAGGAGACAGGTGGCTCATGCCAAAAAACCCCCCAGACTCCTTGAAGGATTTCAGCAAAGCACTTTTAAGGGCCATGATTAGTTGTTGCAAACTTCTCGGTGTCAGAATCCTTTGTTCTTGTAGTTGTCTACGTAGGCCAGGTCAGGATGTTCCTCTAAACCTCCAAGACAAATGTTATTCTGTTCTGCAACTCTTTATCACTACATGAGTGGAAAAGTGTTATACCCTTAAAGGTCAGAGCCTTGAAAATAGGCTATCCTGTATATCAGTCTAAAGGCAACATTCTTTTACTAAAGGTGAAGAGCCAGCATGACTAAACACAGGCAACAGAGCACAAAGGTTAAAGTAAAAGGAACACATCTAATATGGAGTCAGATTTGTTCTTCCCTGTTACAGCCCAGCCGGGGAGTAAATGATGAAGCTGAATAGGGCTGGGAAAGGGCTAGCAGGGGCAAGCAACGAAGTGACCAGAGGTGGTGCAGAGAAGAGCTAGCAGATCCAGAGAGGAAAGCAAACAGTAGGTGCTGGACTGAATTGGGGTGAGGACTCACTACCAGTGGGGCTCCTTTCCCCGAGGAAATCTCAGCAGACCCAGCCCAAGAGGAGGAAATGGAAGAATAGGTCAGAGTCTCAACCAGAACACAAGCTCTGTGAGAATGGGGGTCTCCAGTAGATGTCTTAGTGTGGTTCCCCCAGAACAGGCCCTGAAACTAAAATTTGAGTGCGTTAGTTTATTTGGGAGGTAAAGTGCATCATTAGAGGAGTGGGGAAGTAGGATAAGGAAGGGAAGGCAAAGCCAGCGTAAAACCCACCCCTCAAGAGTTGACGTGCTCAAGGATGAGGGAGCTGGGGTATTTATATACACCTTTAGCCTCAGATGCTTTCACATCAGAACCTCCTGCAACCCTGACCTGGAGGGAGTTCTGCATCAAGAGGTCTGGGATGGGTCTGAGAATTTGCATTTCTCACAAGTTCTCCAGTGATGCTGCTGGTGTAGGGACCACACTTTGAGACCCGCTGGGTTAAGTACCACCATTTCAGTGGTTCACACTTCAGGTCTAAATGAAGATGTTTAATGGGTGAGAAAAAGTAGGGCAGAGGTATTTGTTTCAGTCTGATCATAAAGTTAATTCCCATTCATCCTCCCCTGTCCCCCGAGATACCTGGGGAACCCAGAGTGGACTACATTAATATTGTTTCCCTGTTTTCTTTCCCCAGCTCTAGCCTCTATATTTTCTCCAGGCTAGAAGTGCCTTCTCTTTAACTGGAAGAGGAAGTTAACATTTTTTTTCTTGGTGACTAGTATTAACAAGTTTTGTATATGTTCTATACATACTTGAAAAGATACCCCTACTCTATAATCATGAAATTGAATTCTTGCCAGACATCAACTTTGTGTGTTTAGCTAGACTATGAGTTTATTTTTTTAAGTCTTTTTGATAATGGTATTTTAACATCTCCTCCTACAATGACTACTCCTTCCTGTGTTCCTAATAATGTTTGATTTCTGTATCTTGTTGTCAGTTTCTTTGGCAACTGTAGATTTGTATCTAAATGGCTTCACTATTAGCAGTGGTTGTTACCATTATGTAATGCTCCCTTTATCTTAAAAGCATACTTTTTCCCCCTGCCTTGAATTTAGTTTGTCTAACATTAATATTGTTATCCCTGCTTACCTTCTGTTTGAATTTGATTAAAACAATTTTTTTCCAGCCTTACCAATTTTTTTTTCCTGATCTTAAAAGTAATGCACGCTCTTTGTAGGGACATTTGAATTTATCAAAAAGCACATATAATTGTACAAAAACAAATACTGAAGAGACTAACCAGAAGCAACTGCTCATTTGCCTGTGTTCTCACCCTCTTTTTTTCAATGCATGTTTTACATTAAGATCCTATAGTAAAAACAAGTTAATGTTATTGTTTTTTCTCCTCTGAACTGTGAAGCATAATATCTCCCTTTTTATTAAGAAAAAGTTCTGCAACCATCATTTAATGAGGGTAGAATGGTCCATTCCCAGGCTAGTCAAGAATGGCTCAGGTGGAAACTGCAGCCCTCCACTTCCATGTTATCACATACATTCAAGGAAAAAGAGGCTTTTCAGAGGGCAGACAGCAGAAGCAAGAAGAACTACAATCCTGCAGCCTGTGGAATGAAAACCACATTCACAGAAAGGCAAAATGAAAAGGCAGAAGACTATGTACCCAGATGAAGGAACAAGATAAAACCCCAGAAAAACAACTAAATGAGGTGGAGATAGGCAACCTTCCAGAAAAAGAATTCAGAATAATAATAGTGAAGATGATCCAGGACCTTGGAAAATGATTGGAGGCAAAGATCAAGAAGATGCAAGAAATGTTTAACAAAGACCTAGAAGAATTAAAGAACAAACAAACAGACATGAACAATACAGTAACTTAAATGAAAAATACACTAGAAGGAATCAGTTAGCAGAATAACTGAGGCAGATGAATGGATAAGTGACCTGGAAGACAGAATGGTGGAAATCACTGCCACAGAACAGAATAAAGAAAAAAGAATGAAAAGAAATGCAGACAGCCTAAGAAACCTCTGGGACAACATTAAGCGCACCAAAGTTTGCATTATAGGGGTCCCAGAAGAGAGAGGGAAAGGACCCGAGAAAATATTTGAAGGTATTATAGTCGAAAACTTCCCTAACATGGGAGAGGAAATAGCCATCCAAGTCCAGGAAGCGCAGAGAGTCCCAGGCAGGATAAACCCGAGGAGAAACACGCCGAGACACATAGTAATCAAATTGGCAAAAATTAAAGACAGAGAAATTATTGAAAGCAGCAAGGGAAAAATGACAAATAACATACAAGGGAACTTGCATAAGGTTAACAGCTGATTTCTCAGCAGAAACTCTACAAGCCATAAGGGAGTGGCACGATATATTTGAAGTGATGAAAGGGAAGAACCTACAACCAAGATTACTCTACCTGGTAAGGATCGTATTCAGATTCAACAGAGAAATCAAAAGCTTTACAGACAAGCAAAAGCTAAGAGAATTCAGCACCACCAAACCAGCTCTACAACAAATGCTAAAGGAACTTCTCTAATGGGAAACACAAGAGAAGAAAAGGACCTACAAAAACACCCAAAACAGGGGCTTCGCTGGTGGCGCAGTGGTTGAGAGTCCCCCTGCCGATGCAGGGGACACACGTTCGTGCTCCGGTCCAGGAAGATCCCACATGCCGCACAGCTGCTAGGCCCGTGAGCCTGCGCGTCCAGAGCCTGTGCTCCGCAACGGGAGAAGCCACAGCAGTGAGAGGCGCCTGTACCGAAAAAAAAAAAAACCAAACACCCAGAACAATTAAGAAAGTGGTAATAGGAACATACACATTGATAAGTACCTTAAATGTTAATGGATTAAATGCTCCAACC